GAAACGATGTTCAAGATCTTATTCGAGAAACGACTTCCCATCCTTGGATCACGGCAACCAATTAACTGTTCGAAACTAGCGCACATAAGGATTTTATTTAAGCCGCATCACAAGGCAGTGAATTTATAAAAAGTTTACAGCAAAAGGTAGAAAATTGAAGATAAGCAAGGTATGGTAAAAACTGCCAAAATGATTTGCTGAAATAGATTTGTGTGTGAAGGCTATTTTCTTAATTTAATCTAAAGATGTGATAATTTTTTGATAACGTTTTATTGATAGCTTTTTTTATAATGAGTGGGGCAATAACAAAGTTCCATAAACTCTATTCTTGAGTTGGTCTTCTACGCAAAATTGTACGGCTTTTTACAACTGAAAAATTATTTTTTTTGTATTTTTGTGGTTTGGGACCAAATTTTGAAGCGATTTTACCAATGTACTGAACGGAATTTTACTTGACATTTTAGTGGTTTATTAATACAGCCGCTTATACAAGGTCATGGATCAGCTGTTCCATGACAAGCGTTCACTTTGACTGCCAGTTCGAGCTGTTATCTCTCCCAAATATGGGTAACTGCTTTAGGCACTTTTATCGAAGATCCAACTCTTCGGAAGATGCGCGCCGTCCTTCTCCTACTCACCCTCCAGCTTGGTATTTGGTAGGCTATTCCTGTACCGTTTCCGCAAGCTTAAAGTTCTTGTTACTCCAATAGTTGCTTTGGACTTCAACTAATGTTTTGGAAAACAATTTAGTGGTGCGTTCTTTTCTAATATGTAGCTGTGAATCTTTTTGGATCTGCACTTAATTTGTTCGGTTGTTCTAGGTTGTCATGCCATCACCGAGACTCCTAGTACTCCCATTATTAACGAAAATTGAAAATGGGATAGCCGACTCTAAATTCAGACAACTTTGAGAGACTTTTTTGCTCTTAGTTAAACTATTGGGGTGAATTTTGTTTTATTCTAGATACTTGATCTCATTGCGGTAATAATGGAGTTAAATCTGGTACCTTTTCCAATTCTTTATGTTTTAACACGGTCATGAATTAACGAAAGAATTCTCTGGAATACATACATATGGTAGCAAGTAGACTTTGGGTTTCAACTGATAATATTTTGCTTTTCGCAGGAAAATGATCCGATTCTTCACCCAGCGCCCGGATTATCAGTTCCCTTCTCACAACTCACCGAAGATCAACAAGTGACCATCGCAATGCGGATGGCATTAATCGCTACCCTACCCATCTTCATCTACGATGATAATGAGAATGCTAAGCTACCAGAGTGAGTCTTTGTTTATTTTTATAGGCTCTTGTGTTGTCTCGAACTTCAGTCAGCGGTCGGATAGGCCTTGCTCCTGCTTAATTTGCATTCCCCGCTGTGGTGGAAAGTAAATCATGTTTGAGTTTGTCTACGACTTGTGCATTTTGGCCTTATACTCCAAACTGCGTTCTGCTGCTCTTTATTCTAAGGTTATTTTGTGCGTTTGGTGCGATCTATAACTCTAATCATTCATCACGGTTACTACGACAACTGGGACGCTAAACTTTGATTGCCTTTGTTCTGACTGAGTAGTTCCTCTCCTCACACTTATAAAGAATGCTTTAGTGCGTGTGTGGGAGACAAAGTAGATGCAGATTTTTTGCCGCCACATTTGCGGTACTCTGAGAAGCTCAACCGACGGGAGTGCTGTTTCTCATGAGACTGGCTATAACACCAATAAGAAGTTACCGCTCCCTTGTACATAAAGGTACCATATGCGATTCTTCCTTTTATATCAAAGATTTGCCGTAGTTTTATTTCCCCTAATTTCATAATTGCCTCCTAAGCTACCGCACTAATGAATGTTAACGTGTGCTTAGTCGTGCCACCAAATCCCTCGTTCACCATTATTGCATTCATCATTTTTTTAAAATAAAAGCATTTTGCCGTCAATTTGTCCCCTACTGGTCGTCATGGCAACAAGATTTCAGCTACATCTTTCTTTTATGCTTTCTGTGTCTTAAGCTTGCCCATTCATGCCAATCGCACTGAGTGTTGAGTGGATTTATGGAGACCTTTTCTGGTTTTTCAGTCCAGTTGTCCACTCTACCCGAGGGATAAAATTGCGCCTCAGTAATGCTAACAATTACTGGGTTAGTTTGGTTCCAAACTATTTGGAGCTTATTCAGAACTTGTGTGTTTATTTTACTTCCCGATAAACATGAAATGTGACTTATTCTCGATTTTTCTAAGGCTTCAAACAAGTTAGTTTTCCCATCCTTCATTTGTTTGGCTAAAAACTCGATAATTTGAATGACGTATCCGATTCTTGTGATAGAAAAGAGGACTTGTTTTCTTTTAAAGGCACAGATTTGCTGAACACTTGTAAGACCGCGACAAGTATTGGACTGTGGAGCGGCTTCACTTGATTGCTAAATCATGTGAACTGTTAGCTAAGGTTAGGGATGACTTGCCCTCAAGACTAATCAGTTAAGTAATCGTTTAGTCACGCAATTTGTGGGTCCAAAGTGAGTTCATTTTGGGCCGAATCTTACATCGGTGTGACGAGTCGAGAGAGCGAACGAAGACTAGCGACAAGTAGTGTGTCGGTGTGTTTATTGTGTATATATGTGGGGTAAGTGGTGGGGGCGGATGCGGAGGTAGCGTGCATCACATATCTGTTTCCGAACAAGCAGGTTCGTAGATGTGTGCACGTGTGTGTGTGTGTATATAGTAGAATTCACATTTCACTCTCCTAACTTTTGCATTCTTATCTTTCCGCATCTCTTCCTCCTTCAGCGAGGAATCAACTGAACATACTCAAATTGCTCATTTTGCTTCTTCCGCTCTGTGCTAGTCCGTGACCCTTGTGTAGTCTTCCTTCAAACGGAAATCGTTTTACACCGCGTGTCATCGGGACCAACTTTTGAGACTTTGACCTTGCCCCTTGTTTGATGACCGAGAACACGGGCTGTGGTACTGTGTAAAACAGTAGTGCCGAAGATAACCACGGAGATAAATTTCACTATTGTAGATTGTGATAAGATTGTGTAGAGGCGATGGAAGGTCAAAAGTCGAACTCTATTAGGGAGGGAGGTTCGTTTGGAAGGTACTGCTGAAGTCTGGACGCCCTTCCACAATCAGCATATTTCCTCATTTTTGTTATATTATTTTTTAAGCTGGATTTGAGTTGGGTTATAATGCACTTGCTGCAATCCGAAGATGCGGTTATCTAGTTACTTTAAAACAGCAGAAGGTCTTACTGCGTCTATACTGGTAAACTTATTTCCGTTGGCTCTAAGTATGTTGGAAGGTTGGAAAAGCCAATGAGCCCGTCCATCTTGAAACGTCATCGTCTTTCAGGGCACTTTCTGCTGTTGTACGCTCCTCTGCACCAGGGAATTGCAACATCAACAGTAGTCGAGTGGGCATCAAAGACGACCTGACTAATTGACATCTTTCAAGTCTAGGGATTCATCAAGTAGCTATTTTTCCATAAGGCTGAACGTCATGCAACAGGAGGTTTATTCTGGATAAACACTTGCCTAAAGGTCACAGCTACTCCCTTTTTGATCGGAAGTTGAAGCCCTCTCATTACTCCGACAGCTCAAAGCATAACTGTAGGTGGTGCTCCCTCCCTTACGATTCGTCAGTGCGGGACCGCCTGCCGTGACCTTTGTGCTTACAGCCTTGAAGTTGACTCTGAGGGTGCTCTTAAGGCAAATGGGTTGGGAAGTGCATCTGTTACAGGCGTGTAGAATGGCCTGGGGCACTGTGGTGAGGCTCGAATTGTGGCATATTGAAGGCATACGCAATTAGAATCACCAGCCTTCGGCTGCACAGGCTCCAGTCTGCAGAGTGCTTTCCGCTACCCCATTTCTGTCTCAATCACAACAGGGGTATGAACGCACACTAATTTCGCATCACAGTGAGATGACTGACGACTCTAACACAAGTGGCACTTCTCGTGGGTTTTGGTGGGTCCATTTGCTGCTACGTCCTCCTTGCTAATTGCCTTGTGGAGGTATTCATTTGCTATGCATCACTTGGGGCTAGACATCCCTCTCTCTTGCTTACCAATCATTTCTCATTTACCTGCTAAATAAGTAATAATTTTACATGACTTTTAATCGCTCAGGTGTGCTTGCAACCCAGAGGTTGAGCCAGTACCTCTGCACTTAAGGGAGGTTGGGTGTAGGTTCTACAATCAGACAACGATTCCCTAAACCTCAAATGTGACGAAACTATCAAGGAGGGAATCTGCTCGAATCACTTATCGCTTTTAATCCGTTTTCTGATCCTACTTAATTAAAACTACTGTCAAAAACAATTTGGTGTATTGTGGGGTTGGTCCGAGCCAACCGCCAAGCCTGGAGGTTCTGAAAAGACGATAGGAAGGCGGTGGAAAGTTGTCCTGCTTCACTTCTACACCTCTTCTCCTCATTCTCTCCTCCGACAGATGCGTGATCTGCATGTGCGAATACGAGGCCGGTGATGAGATGCGCAAGATGCCCATGTGTTCGCACATCTTCCATCGCGCCTGCATCGATGACTGGCTAACGCGTTCACTTACCTGTCCCTCCTGCCTACAAGAGGTTCCCATGCCCTCTTCCACAATCCCTACCACTCCCACCGCCGTCGCTGCTTCCACCACCACGGCTTCCACGACCGCTACGGCTGCCGTTGCCTCTACAACTGCGGGGCACATTGCCACTGCAAGCACTGGAAGGGCAAGCGGAGGTGATAGGAGCCACTTGTCCGGTCCCTCAACCACCGATTTAAGAGAGGAGGCACGGAGGATTAAAAAACGATCCAAGGTGCTTGTTTGCTTTCTTTTCCGACCATTTTTTTTACCGCCTTGTTGACATGGGTAATTAGAAGCCGATTTATTTAAGTGTTATTGATGGGAGCTTTCAAATGAATTTTAATGGCCCAAAAGTGTTGCTTATGGATTACATGTGGTACCTACTTCAAATCTACTTTTTCCTTATGATTAGCCTTCAGTTATCGACAAATTTGGCCACTTCGGGTCACTGCAAGTTGGGTTATTTCAGTAGCATCAGTTAGAGGTTTAAGGTGAATTTGAAACTTGATGAAATTTTGTTGTAGGTCAATCCCAGTAACTATTTCATCCTGATTTCTTGCTCGACTTATTTTTCCTTTAATAAATTTTGAAGCTGAGATGGAGCATTTTAGGTAGTGTAGGCATAAGCCTCCGGATGTGTTTGTGCTCGAATAAATTTATCATTCGTAGACTGATTTACCCGGAAAGTACATGTTAGAAGCTTTCTTTGAGTCAAGTTCCCAGCTAAGATGCTGCTTGATTTTGAATTGAATGCATTTTTCAACATTGTTAACAAACGCAAATTTTCTCATGCTCTACCCTCTCCCCTCCCGTTATCGGGCTGGTTGAGCGAGGTTACTGACAAGTATTTAAGTAGTATCGGACCTAACACTCAGGTAGTGTTTCTCATTGGCTAGAGTATCAGTCATGTGTCCGTCAGATTAGTAGGATTTGTGGTAACAGTGAGGGGTGGTTCTGATTTTAGTGCTTTCAAGATGTCGAGTTGGAAATAAAGCCAGTTAACTATGCTACGCCTGTTTCTCTCTCGAGTTTCTTCAATTTGCCCAATTTGGGTACACAGGGTCACTGCAAGCTGGCATAGTTAAGTAGTGTAAGGAGTTTAATACAACTTGGGGTAAAATGTTTGTGTCAGAGGTTTTGTTTATGTCGTTTTCAAGATCGCTTTGAATGTCAACCCAGGATTTATTGAGGCATGTAGAGTGTTGCGGCTGACTTTTAATTTATAGGTTTGCACTGAAGTTAATAAGACTAAAGGCCGATTACCAAAAGTTTTAAGGTTTAAGAGCCTCCTCAGATCGGTTAAAAAGTCCGTCATAATCCACCTGGATTCGAACTTGCAAAAGGCTTAGTCTGAATAGCGTCTCCGACTTAAAGTCGCCAAGTCATTGCATTTAATGTCGACTTCAAAGCTCACATTCGTGTGCTTCTGCTCTCATTCTTTGATTCCATCACATGAGGCAATTTGGAGGTTAAAAGTTTAGGCAGTATGATGATTTGTTGGGTCCAATGCCACAGAAATTCCTCTACATTCTATCCCTCGAAGGTCTTGGGGATTTGCAGTGTAGCTTCTGAAATATCCTTGACTGGACAAAGCTCTGATGCCGTTTTAAAGTCTAAAAGACGGCTTAAAGCACATAAATTTATCAATCGCCAAAGCACTGTACTTGAGCTTATCCTTAAGTGGGAAAAGTTGAGGTCAACATCATCTACTCCCGTAAATCCAAAGGAGAATCCCATGGTTCCCTTTAAAAGCCCATTTTTTACACCAACTTGTGTTGTGGAATCTCCCCCGGCTTCACTGTTTCATTACCATCGCAGTTCTCGAGCCCACATTTTTCCACGCATCAGTGCCTTAGCCTCAGATCAGACCCATTAGACTAACATTGCACCTCTGCCTCCCCCAACATCTTGTTTGATGTTGTGGGCTATCTACAACTATCCGAAACTAAAGGTCCAAAGTACTGTAGCAAAGACAAATTGGAGAGCTGAGCGTTTGATTTACCGACGAGTTGCCTTTACGGTCATCGAGAAGTAGGCCAGGCCGCTTCAAGGCATTTTTTGGAGCAAATACGCGGGTCGAGTTTAAAGATCAAATCACGCTTACCCGGAGCCAGAAAAAGGCACGAATCCATGAAGTTATTTAAAGTGCAAACCGAACGGCAAATATTTAAGTGCAGGTTGTTCTGACGATGCCGCTATCTCTCAGAAACCTCAAGAAGCACAAAGCCACTAATTCGGTAAAAATAATCGTGGGCTCAAAGTAAGCCCACCATCTTGGACATTTTCTCCTCATGTGTCGGTGACACGATGATTGGGATACCAACGGCAAGGTTAGTAGCTATGTGAAGGCTCTGCTACTACTTAATTTATTTCAGGAGCACGTCTCACCGTACATTCCTTCTCAGGAACAGCAGATGTCGCGTTCAAGGGAGGAAAGGGAACTGCGGCGTTTCCAAATCCCCACCCTTTCCTCTTCCTCCTCTTCCTCCTCCCCCGGTCCTTGACTTGATGCATACACTTAGCCTACTGGAAGTTGTTTCAGTAGGCGGGCTTCGCCGTTTTTTTTATACAAACTTTAATTGGTACTTTGTACACTTGTTGCGAGCTACTGCTTGTTTGTTTGTCTGTTTACTTACTGGTGCTACTTTTTCTTGCCGAGATGATGATGTGCACGTGTAAATTCCCCTTTTCATCTCTCTTTGCTATGGCTTTTCCTCCCCCCTTTGTTTTGGATCTGAGTGACCGTTTATTACCATATTTTAGTAAGTAGCAGTTTTTGTTCAGGAACTGGTCTTTTGAAAAGCAATTTAAGAGTGACTTGCAGTTGAGCTCGATTTAGTAATTCTGAGTGTGGTTGATCTGATTTGAAAAATGATGTCCATGATTGATTTAGTTTGTAAAGACACTGTCAAAAGGTTTAAGTTCATAGTATTATTGCGAGTGCGAGTGTGCTACTTAAATACAAATAAGTACGAAATGCATCTTATGGGACGATATGGAAAGGTCAATTTGAATTGGATGGGGTCACGCGGTACTAAGCGAAATTGAGGCAAACCAGTCATACTTATCACGGTTTGCAGTGTATGTTTTGTCCACGGTAAATTGTTCTATTGAACAGGAGGTTTTTTTGAGTCCCAAGCTATGTGGCATTTTGGTGGCTCAAATGGATTTGAGATAAGTGTGGACTGCTGTTCGTTCAAAGTGTGCACTTATCTAAGCCACCCTTTTGTTTCCCGGTGCATAATTTGGACTAATTTTGATTCTGTTTAGTTATTCTTTTCTATCCGTTTCTTGATAAAAAGTTTCATTTTATTTCTGACTGACTAAGGTCGTGGGTAGCCGGAACCTGCAAGGCCTAATTACATTTTTCATTGAGCATCTAAATATTTTTAAGTGCGTCTTCTCTCAACCACACCTTCTGCACTATCTCTGTGGATTAAACAAAGTTGTCTCAAATTTATCCCGACTGATTACCTTTCCAACTGCAGCCATTAACGTAGTAGATGTGTGCTAGAACGGGAAGTCAATGTCGCGTTTTTATTTTCAAAATACCAAATGTGACGTATTTCATCAGGGGCTGGTGACCTTAAGATAGCGATGGAAATGTCAAAAATATTTGTTCTAAAAGTCAACAAACTAGCTATTGCTTTATTTTTGGGTATTACTGACTTTTTGAGTTAAGGAGAACCTCCATAGCAATGGTTCACACATAGCGATATCATTGAAATGGTGAGATTTGACAGTTTTTACTTGTCTACTAACAATTATTTCCTCAGTTTTGTTAGTCAAAGTGGGATCCTCCTGGCCATCCGACTCTGTAAAGACCCTACCCGTTTAAAACACATCGGTATTCAACAATCTTTCACCATTCAATATCGTCCTTCTCTCTGTCTGAACGGAACCCCCTCTCTCTCTCTTGAAACTTCAATCATTGTTCTGGATGCTTATTGTTTAGTTGTGTCTTCACCTCGCCAAAACACCTCATTTGTTTGTTGCGTTTAGCGCTACTGCATCAGGCCGTTTCACGGTCAGTGGGTTCGTAAGGTTGATCAAGCGCAAATTCTTGACTAGACAACAAATCACCACGGTAAATGATGTATTCAGATCATGGACCACCCTACTTTTCAATAAAGTGTACGTTGTGCTTCTCATTGCTTGCATTAGCACTATGGAGCAGACTTTCAAGGCTCCATCTCCTGCCTGGTGGCACGCTCTTTGCCAGCATAAAAAAGTGGCATGTAGAAATAGTTGGTCAGAAGTGGAGGATTATTTTTTAAACAAATAGGCTCTGATTGATTACGCAGCCTCTCCTTTATACTGCGTTGCATACAAGACGTATGGATGAGAGTAGAGGGAATTCTGACAAGTCGAAATGAATATATTAAGCTGTTATGACAAAAAAAGGACTTCATTGAGCACCTCGTTGGGTGTGAGAAGCACTAATTAAATCTACCATCCTTCCCCATCGAGTTTCACTTTTTGTCCCAGCAAGGGACCACCACAGTTCCAGCTGCCTTATCTTTCATCCGGCCATCTTTTCCGATCCGTCTCTTCAATTTTTGATCTGACCACGCCAGAAAAGTGAAAAATGGGGGATGAAAATGAAATAGAATCCTTACGTCTTTCTTCCGGTAAGTTTTCCGCCTCAAAAGGCGATTCTTCACTACCAGGGAAGGAGGAACTTCCTCGAAGTGATGCAACATCCTTGCACATTTCTGGGTGATACAGCCTACTGCTATCCACCACACCCCCTTCAAATGGGAGACGTCACAGTTGACAAGTGGCTTCTGTATTGATGGAGCCGAATTCCAATTGTTTCGAAAAGGGGCCAAGTCAAGCTCACCTTCGTCCGGTTCCAAGTGGTAGGATGGCGGTAGCAGGCACAAGAATGCGTGCCGTACTGATGGAAGGAGGCAATTTAAGCCAACCTTTGATGTGCCTACGTGAACAGTTGTATCCACTTTACGGGTACCTGCAAGTTGTAATGCATGCGTTTGTTCGTGTGTATGAGTTATAAAATAGAGATATGCATCAACATATTTACGCAGTAAGCACCTAATGCTCTTCCCACTGCTTTCGTATCATGTGGAAAGCAGGTATAATGTAGAGTCAGCCAAATAGAGGTGAGTCCAGTTTGTTTAATTTGCGAGTTTAATTGAACTTGATTTCATAACTGCGGAAATTTCCGGTGTGAAAGTTGCGTGATATCAGAAAATCTCATCCATAAATAACTTGCGTTCGGTTGATCCTGGTGAAGAGCACTTAGAGATGCATGATATACCAAGTACTGGGAGATACGCCTCCTCCTCCTTCCCCTCCTCCTCCTCCTCCTCCTCCTCGTCTCGAGCAAATGATGCATGATGCCACTGAACCAAATAACTGACGATTTTAGAGTTTGGAAGTGTGCTGAAAGCTGTTTCAAATGTGAATAATGGAAGAAGGGGGAGCATTGAAGCTACGGTGGAGGCTTACATGCGAGACTCTACAGTGTAGGTGATTCTCACCCACTTGACATTCACTCGCTTACAAGTGACAACAAGACCAAAAAACTGTCGATTTTTCTGTCCTCTTCATTTGTGCAACTAATTACCGACATGTAATGTAATGAGACGTGGATTTTGTGCCGTCTTTTGGGGTTCTTTTTAGCAAAGACAGATGTCGTCGAATACCTTCACTTACCACACCTTCACCAATACTCATCCCTTAATGCGGGGAGACACATCACTTCATCATCACAATAGTATCTCTGCTCTGTGTCTGTGTGTGAGTTTTGTGTGGCAAACCGCAGACAATTCGGTCGGTGGGAACGGTTCACTTCTCCTTGATGCAGATAATGAAGTGCAACGCGAGGGTCGTTCTACAAGAAGTAGTGGCAAGTAAATCACTAAGAAGTAAGGTCTCCTTGCCTTCTCATAAGATAATACAACACCTGAACTCCTCCTGTTGCAAAAATTACCCCTTGAGGTGATCCGCACTTTAGAATGCGAGTGAAGGGAAGAGAAAAATACCGCCTTATTCTCCGTGTATATTCCCCTAATGATAGCTGACCAATCTCCAAGCCATTGCCGTGTGAGTACATTTTTAAAAAATAAGTGGAAAAAATGATGGGGAAGAGAGGCTGCTCTGGTGAAGAATTCCCACCAAAGCAGATTTTCGATGGGAGGGAACAACAGTCTTCAATGCTGGTCATTTCATCGGATAAGATACTTGAATAGACTTTCATCTCTTGTTTAACTTTCAGGATAAGATCCGCGCCAACTTATCACCTTAGCAGGTCGAATGTGTTAGGGATGTCCTCAACCCCTAAAAATATCTCTTCATTTAGAACCTCTAGAGGTCCCCTTTTTTTCCAGGCCAAATGACAAACCGCTGAAAGCATCTACAAATTCTTGCTCCCTTCCAATCGCTCGGATTAGTCAATACCACAAGCAGGGAGATTTTAAGTGCGCTATTGCTTACCATGAGGTCAAAATCAATCCCATTGTCATATACACAGAGCCAAAGAGATACGCCATGTCCTCAATGGTCAGTCCGCGTCCATACTGAAGGCCTTGTCTCCCAATTCTGTTTGTTTGCAACTCGACAGGATTCATTTTTCCTACAAGTCAACAAATGTGCATCGGTTCATGACACAATGAATGAGTTCGATGAGGTTTTGTACAACCAGCTCGGCCGATATATCATCAACAGTTTGTGTTAAAAAGGAGCTACAAGGAGGCAAAATTCTTCATTTGAATAGCTAGATTCTTGCATTTTTTGAGATCCTTTCGGTAGATATCATCTCTCAAGCGATTAAGTGGATGTTTGAAAGTACTTCTCCACCCGTCACACAGGCATGTCATTTGCCACTACCATTGTCTTCAACGACAATGTTAACCTAATCAAACGTTGATAATCCAGAAAGGAATAAGAGGATTTGTCGTTACTCTACGTCTACTCACTACTCCTTGAATGCTGTCACGTGCATCTTTTGTCCAGGCAAGCCATGTCAAGGCAATGGAAGGTAAGGACACAGCTGAGTAGTAAGTAGGAAAGGAAAGCATGATCGTTCCTCCCCGTGGTGGCATTACTTTGCTGCAGGCACTCAACACCCATGCCACGTCAACTCTACATTGAGGTTTACGACCACCAGGTCGTTACGTGTTCCCTCATTCCGATATGAGATGAAATAACCTGATTGAAATGTAATGAAGATTAAAGAGGAGGAGGAGGAGGAGGAGGAGGAGGAGGAGGAGGAGGAGGAGGAGGAGGAGGAGGAGGAGGAGGAGGAGGAGGAGGAGGAACGGAGGAGGAGGAAGGAGG